ATTTCAGCCTTTGGGGGACCTTCCTGGCCTCAGTGCTTTCAAAAATCTATTCGGGATGAAGAACTGGCCCCGGGGAATGGGTCGAGACCTGGGGGTCGACGTTATGAAAAAATCGTGGACCTCGGGGGATCAGTGCGGAGCGCCCGACGTAGAGGCATGGTCGGGCGCACCCTGGCGGCGACATCTTCTCCACGTGTCAGCGCTTCCCCTCGACTCGTTCTGGGACTGTGCGGGCATGGTGTCCGTCCCGCCTCTCCTCACCGCCCCTTCACTATCTTTCTCCTCCTCCGCCTCCTTCCTTCTCCTCCTCCTCCTCCTCCTCCTCCTCCTCCTCCTCCTCAGCTCCTTTTCCTTATGAGTAACTCCTCCCTGACGCATCCCGAGGCACATCGTTGATGGATCTTGGGCTTACGCTGGTCCTCGCCCTCCTCCTCCTCCTCCTCCTCCTCCTCCTCCTCCTCCTCCTCCTCCTTGTTTCCCCCCAGCTCCCATCGTCTCTTTCCTCGTCCTCCTCGTCCTCCTCCTCCTCCTCCTCCTCCTCCTCCTCCTCCTCCTCCTTGCGGACCGGGAGGGTAAATGCCTCAGTGTACGCGTGCGGTGCACGTTTGGATCATGAGTGGAAGGAGTAGAGACGGCTGCGACAGGTGTGGCGAGCGGAAACGGCAGAACATGCGGGGTCAGCCTGCAAGTGAGAGACCTCGAGGCAACTGGAGAATGGCAGTACCGCGCGTGCAGCGGGCTGCTGCAGGGGCGGGTCAGCTGAAGGATTTGGTATCCTGGCCTTGCACCCTTTCCAGCGCAGAGAAGCCAAATGCTGCCGTAGATGATAGTACGCATATGTGTGTGCGTGCCAGCACAGTTGTAGCTCTCAGTTGCTTACTTATCGTTGCTATGCTGATGGTGACGTGACGTCGGAGAGGTCATGGTTGAAGTTTCTCGTGGTAGAATCGATCTGCAGTTGCTGCAGGTCTGTCACCAAGAGCACGTCCAGTGTTGGGGCATGGTTAGCACTGCTGCGACTGTTGGTTCCATGCTTCGTACGCGTGCGATCGCAGGTGTTATCATTACATTGCGATTCTCGCAAACCGAAGATTGCCTCCATGGTCGTGCCGACCTGGGCTACATACATCGTGTTGCCTTACAGGGGTGCAGGCGGCTGAACGGGTGCCCCTCGGCCACGGTGGTCCGAGTGGCCGAAGCGAACGTGTGTGGCTGCCCTGGGCGGAGTGGGGATCTCGCCCGCGCGATCTCTCCCCTGGCACGCCGATGCAATGCTGGCGGCAGTGATCCCGGACAGGGCGCGGGCCGCGGAGCGGGCAGCGAGGCCGCGCTGGGCTCGGCCGCGGCACTGAACAGATACTTCTTGCCAGGTGCACAATTACCTCCTCCTCTCTCATCACCTCCTCCAACCCTCCTCCACCTCCTCCTCACTCCTCACCCTCCTCGTCCTCCTCCTCCTCCTCCTCCTCCTCCTCCTCCTCCTCCTCCTCTTCCTCCTCCTCCTCCTCCTCCTCCTCCTCCTCCTCTTCCTGGTCATCCTCCTCCGTCGGATTCTTCCGCCGTGCATGTCCCTGGCTCTCTGCAATCCCGCCTCGAACGTCGCCCAGCCGCTCCTGGGGAAAAGAAAAGCATACCGATACGGCGATCTTCAGACCTTTCCCAAGGTGTACTCTCAGGTCGGGCATGTCCCCCTACAGGCGGGCTTTGGGCGAAGAAACAAAAATATACCGCAAATAAGTATAGTCACACAAATACTCAGAACATTGTCCCCATACTATTTTTCACTTAAAAAACCTCCTCCTGTAGGGGGACATGCCCGACTTGAGTGTACTCTGACCAGACCTTCGAGGCGAGTCCAGCCGTGGCGACGAGGGCCTCCCAGGAGGCCTCAGAGAGGCGAAGACGAGCCAAGGGCGGCGGCATCTGCACAGATTCTCCTCCCGGGCTCCCGCGCGGAGAAGTCGTCCTCCAGCCACGAGTCGATGGCCCGGATCTGCTCCTTGAGCTCCCTCCTCTGCGGCACCTCGAACTCGGCCTCGCCCGCGGCGACGGCCGAGCTGGGCGCGGCAGCTGCCGGCCCGGCGCCGCGGGCCCCCTCGAGAGAGCGTTTCGCGATTGCGGCTGTAACCGGCCCTGCCAACCCCCTCCCCCCTCCAGGTAAAGTCCAGACTCCCGCTGCTGATCTCCGAATTGTCCTTGGCTATTCCTAGAAGTTCCCAGACGGCGCTGGCGGGGAACGTGACGCTACCGTCGGGTCGGGCGAACGGGGGGGATAGCAAAGGGGGGTTTGAGAATCAGCTCACGTAGCTGATGTTCCCGGCGCCTCCCGGCGCCAGAGGCGGCTATGTATCGAGGAATGAGAGAACGCGTTTCACTGGCGCTTGCCTTGGGAACATTCGGCGGCGCGTTTCGAACCGGGGGGGGGGCCCTCCCCAACACTCGGCGCCGTCGATCAAAACCAAGGGGACTCCCCCCCAAACCCCCCCCCTCCCCGAACCACCCCCCCCTTTCTCCCAAGGGGAGGGGGGGTTTGAACCCCCCCCCCAGCGCCGGCCCCGGCGGCCGCCAGCAGCGCCGACGGCGGGGATGCAGCGACGATGACCAGAGGCAGCCCAAGCCCCACCCCCCCCCACCCCTGGCGCCAGCGCCGGCGCTGGCGGCGGCCAGCAGCGCCGAAGCGACGATGACCACCACTATACCACCACCACCACCACCACCACCACCACCACTACACCACCACCACCACAACCCACCACCACCACCACCACCACCAACCCACCACAAAACCACCACCACCACCACCACAGCCACCACCACCACAAACACCATACCACCACACAAATCACCATCACCACCACCACCACAAAAATCACCACCATTACCACCACCACACTCTACCACGCCACCACCACAACCGCCACAACCACCACCACTAACCAGCAGCACAACCCACCACCACCACCACACACCACCACACCACCACCACCACCACCACCGCCACCATCACCACCACCAGCACCACCTCCACAAACCACCGCCACCACCACAACCCACCACCACCACCACAAACCACCACCACACCACCACCAAACCACCACCACAACAGCCACCACCACCACCACCACAAACCACCACCACACCACCACCACACCACCACCGCCACAACCACCACCACCACCCACCACCACAACCACCACCACCACAACAAACCACGACACCACCACCACCACCACCACCAGAACCACCACCACCGCCACCACCACCACTGGCACCACCACCACCACAACCCACCACCACCACCACCACCACCGTCGTCCTCGTCGACGCTCCCCGCCGCCGCCGCCCGCCGGCGCCCGCGCCGGCGCCGGCCCAGAAAAGGAAATCTTCGCCCCCGCCGCCGCCGCCGCCAGCCGAGGAGAGGGAGAGAGGAGAAGTAGGGGAGGGGGGGGGTTCGAACCCTCCCCCCCCTCCATCCAGGGGCCGGTCCCAACCCCCCCCCCCTCCAAGCGACCACAGAACGCGCTCTTTCCGAGGAGTGGGCCCCTCGGTGAGGCCGAAACCAGCTGCACGCAGCAAATTTCGTACCCCCCTTTCCCGATCCCCCCCTGTCGTCCAGCCCGACGCCGCCCCCCCATCCCCCTCGCCCCCCCTGGTGGCGCCCGCGGCGCTCGCCCAGAAGAAAAAGAACGCTCTCCTCGGCCTCGGGGCCCGCCTGCGCCGGGAGCCGGTGGTCCCGGAAGAACTCGCGGCTGATGTCCTCCGAGGGGCGTTGCGGTGGGCCGCGATCGGCTCGGGCGGGTGGTAACCTAAATTCGGGTGCGGCCAAGAAGGGGGTGTCCAAGAGGGGGGGGTGCAAATCATGACCGTCGGCATGTGCGCGGCCCAGCGGGGGGGCCAGGGACGCAATGAAATGAGAAGAGGCGCCATAAAATCTGGGGAAATATCATGACCCCCGCCATGATATCCACACCCCCGTAGTCATCACCCCCCTCTTGGCCGCCCCCGATAAATGGCGGGTGGAGAAAAGCGCTCTCCTTTCTGGAGCCAACAGGGGTCCAAGAGGGGGCCCTACAGGGCCCTGGGACATGTATTTCCTTCACCCCCCATCTCGGTCACCACCCATTAGCACCCGCCCGATCGGCGCTCGGGTGGCTGGGGACGGCGGCCTGGAGACGGGGACTGGGACAAAAGCAGACCAGGAGCCACCGGTGATGTCCGAGATCCAGCGACTCTGGACCCCTAGATCCTGGCGCTGGATTTTTTTCACAACACGCGTTTTCGCCCCGTTACGAGCCAGGGGACCCTCACAGAGCGATCCGGATAGAAAAATGGAAAAGAAAGATGGGGTCTAGAGCTCGAGTCGTGATGTCTGATTTTTTCGAGACGTTGGATCTCAGGGAAAGCAGAACGGGATCCATCGGGGATGTCCGAGATCCAGCGGCTCTGGTATATGTACGGTGAGGAACTTTTGCTCAGTGTCACGGCGGCGACTCCCATGCGAGCGGGTAGCGTGTCGCTCCACCCAGCGGGGTGGCTGGCTCAAAAAGGCTCGGGACGTTGACGCCTGTGGACTGAGAAGTGGATAGCGTGTCGCGCCGAAGCGTGGTGGGCCAGACCTGGAGGAGCATCCAGAACTTCCCGACCGTAGTGGACACCGTGACCTGTCGAGAGCGCTCCGGAACGCTGTGGGAGATTTCCGTTACCCAATGGAACTGCCTGTAACGATTTGTCCTCCGTGAGCCCGCAGGAGGCACACCACCACCACCTCCGCGCCCTCAGACATCCGGCCGCTCCAAGTTTTTCGATGCTGGGGCCCCCGAGGTCTGAACCACTTCCCTGAGGCCAGTTTTGTATTCTGAGTCGCTTTGTGACGGTGCCGAGGTCTTGCGAGGGCCCCTGGGGGCCGAAAACGGCCCAAAACCTGCCGCCACAATTTTTCAGAGCGTCGGATCTCTGGGCCTGGGCCCGGCCAAGGCCAAGCCCCTCCGCGGAAAGTGCGCGGGCTTTCTCGGGGCGGCGCTGGCGCACGCTCGCTGGCGAGCGGAGCGCGCCAGGGGGCGGCGCTGGAGGCGCCGCCACGGGGATCCAGCGCGGGCACAGGAAGTCCGCGCGGACCTTCGAGAATTTCTGGGCTAATACTCGTGCGTCCGCGCAGAGAGCATGCACCCGGCCAGGGCACCAGGACGGCCCTGGCCAGGCATGGTGGTGGCGTGCAGGTGCCCTTCATCCTTGAGCCGATGGCAATCAGAAGCTAAGCAGCCGGCGAGCAATCAACAGCGGTCCGAGGCTTCGAGAACGAAAGAAAACCAATGGCGATGCGGCAGGTTCGCGTCGTGACGATTTCGACGTTGGTTTCTGAAACCGCATGAATCGCTCCACCTGGAACAATCCGCAAATTTCCGAGCGCCAGATCGTTCCCGAGTAGCCGATTCCTGGTCACCGCCGTTCAACCTTGCACGGCCGCGGCGGGATCGCCGCTCAGTCGACACGACACGAACCTGCAACACGCAGCGAAGACCCACGGGAGCAGAAGCCCGTCTTCATCATTCGCGATAACGCCAGTGACAGGCCCCGCCCCTCCCCCTCCCCCCCCCTTGGTCACGTCACGATTCGCGTTGACGTCGTCTGGGAATTAGCCATTGTCAAGCATTCCCAGACGGCGCTGGCGCGAAACATGACGTGACAGGCCCCCTCACCCCCCCGCGACCCCCCCCTCCAACCACGCCCGCGATCGCCAGGTGATGAAAAACGCCCTCCAGACTCTGCGGAGAAGGCCCGCGGAGAAGACTGACGGTGTGCTGGGCGGCCCCCAGAAGAGCGCAACGTGTGAGGCCATGGCCTCGAAGGAAAAGTCAAGAGCATCGATAGCCTACTCAGGATGCTGGTGTCGTTGGGTACCGAACGACGTATCCGCCACCGTGCCTTCAGCACGTAATAGAGTGCTCCAAGGCTCGTGCAGCCCTGAAAAGTCCGCCCCCGTGCCTTCAGCACGTAGTGGAGTGCCCCAAGGCTCATGAAACTATGCGAGATTAAGGGCTTGTGGTTCTTAAAGGTTCTGAAGGGCGCCAACCCCCGGTTTCCCAGGTGGTCCTGGGCGGTCCTGAACGCAGTCAGAGTGTGTCGCCCGAGCTTCTGGGACGCCAGAAAGGCCCCACGACGGGCCAAGAGACGCACCAAGAGACCCAAAACGGCTCCCAAGAGGCCTCCAACCGGCCCCCAGGAGGCCCCCCGAGAGGCACCCGGCAACATCCCAATGAACATCCTAGAGACCTATGACCCACAACCCAAGCACGGTGGCGGGATGAGCCGAATGCCATGTGATAGTAAATAGTGAAGGCCTACAGGAGGGGAGGGGGAAGGCTGCCCAGACCCTGCCGCGGGCACTTGCCCGGAGGCAAGGGCCCACCAGACTTACGGTTCCCCTCCGCCTCCGCCTCCTCCTCCTCCTCCTCCTCCTAGTGGCTGTCTCAGGTATCGAGAGGCCTGCGCCACCTCAGAATTCACGAAATGCTAGAAGCGACAGCTCAGGAGAAGGAGGTGCAGGGATCCAGGGAACTACGCCGCCTCTCTTCTTTCTGGGGCTACACGGAGCGATGGAAGGGCGAAGCCATGTTGAATAGATTTTGTGGGGTAAGCATATGGTTTCACACTCGTTTTCTTCAGACCAGCACATCTTCGAGGAGCCATTACCAGCCCCGAGAGGGCTGCAAGGCAGAGTACTTTGCTGCAACATAAAATGACAGTCTGTTCGGGTTGCTTTATTTGTCTGTGTGTCCCGCCATGTTGCCGAAACAAGGCAGAGCAACTCAAGTATGCGAACTGCTGCGAGGCGATCATCAGGTGGCTTTCCAAGACTCTCGACACGCTAGCGGGCAGATGGATTCCTGTGATCACTATGGACATTAATTCAGTTTTCACCGAGGAGATTGAAGGAGTTATTGGACCCTTCGACCATTGCGAAGAAGAGAGAAAGTGGGCAACTCTGCTCAAGCCAATCCTCATCGCCGACGAGTTGCGCATGATAAATGATATGCGAGATGCAGGATGCACGTTTGTGGCTTCCATTGGTGCTACGCGGACGCTCGCGGACGCTTGATTACATTGCCTTACCCTCAGCACTACGGTCATCGGTCAAATGGTGCACGACGTTCAGACGGAGCATGAGAAGACTACAACCACACCCATGGGGTCGTGAATGGGATCACCTGCCACTTGGCATCGGCGCCTTTTGGAGCAAGAACATCACCCCCATGGCCTTTTGGAGCAAGAAGCAGGAGCGAACCGAGCCATCGGCGGCGAGTGGTCTTCTATAGAAAGGCTACAAACGGGGAGAGTTCACCAAGATCGTGTACGACACTACCTCGGCCAAGGCTGCCTGGGTCAGAAGTCAGCCGTGCTACACAATGGAAGTGCAGGCGAACCAATTATTAGTCAAAGCACTTGCGGCCGGAGCGGTACCAAGAAGGAAGGATGCCCGGAGAGTCACGAGCACTACGCAAAGAGGCTACGTCATCTACAGCAGCAAAGACGAGAAGTGCGAGAGCGGCTACCGTGGGCCTACACGCAGAACGATGAGGACACGCAACTCGAGCTTATCATCAGGATCACGACGATCAGCAAGTGGCTACGGCAGCGTAAGAGACAACATTAGCAAAGGCTTGAAGAAGATCGAGTCCGCGCCTTTGAGGAGGCCCGATCACAACGAGACTTCCACGCAGTACTTCGGCTGGCAAGGCTTACTGCAGCAAAAGGGCGAAGACCACGACGACGCAGCTACCGACAACTGCGGACGAGTGGAACCGCCTCAGAATGGATCACGCGGATGCAAGCAGAGGGCGCGCAGGGTGGAACTGCCGTGCGAGTCGGCGACTACGGCGCCATGCTACAGATGGTTCACAAGCTACCCGAGCAGGCCAACACCGGGACCGCCGAAGAGACGGAGGAGGACGTCGAGGCTTTCAAGCGGGAGGCATGGCGATTACGACTATGGCGAGTGGCCCCACAGGAAAGCAAGTGTGCTGAATTCTTGCCCACGGCCATGTTCCTCAACTGGATCAACAATAGGCACAAGCAGAGCAACCACGGTGTCGGCTACGAGCAGGAGCAGGAGAGGATTTCAGCGTGAACAGCGTCATCACCAGGCGCATGGAGGAGATCAAGATAGCCCGGAACGTGAGCAAGCAAGATAATACGTTGTATATGTGCGGGTGGACAGATTTCTGTTTATCTTGAGGCATTCTTCTTTACGTGAGCAGCGGTTGGATGGGAAGAGAACTGTTTGTGCCAGATACCTTGGACCCAGAATACATTCCATATTCGCCCTCAGCGAGATGAAGCATCGGTTGATGGCAGGACGAGCTGCATGGCAAAACCTTGGCAAGTTCTGAAGAAGCAACGTCCCCTTCGGCTGGAAGATCAACTTACTCAAGGGCTGCGTGGCGAATGCATGCTACACTGGAGCAGAAGTTATCTGCGCAAAGGCTGGGCCCACGCGAGCACATGACTGGCAGGTCATCCCTAGCTTCCTCGCAACGCGTGCAAAAATACTGTTGCGAGGAGCTGCCCAGCAAAAAGAAGACGGAACATTCAGAAAGTTGTCCAACCTCCAGGCCCTCAAAAAGTAAAGCTAGCTGCCCCGCACGTCGAGATGAGGGTCCGAAGGCTCCGATGGCTTCAGCAGTGTTTCAGCAAGCACGACCGATTTGCTCAGTTTCTTGCGATGGTGTTCGGGCGCCCCTGGGACGACGAACAAACCGAAATCGACAAGTACTTGAGCAGCGACGAGAGAGAGAGAGAGAGAGAGAGAAAAAAAAATGCATGGTGCGAACAAGTGTATGGAGACATCAAAACGATCGAGATGTTTGACGACAGTGCTCGGCTACTAGAAATAGATGGGTTGGCTGACATCTTATCGAGGGGAGGGGAGACGTCGTACAACTGGATATGGGAGGGACCAGGGCGCACTAGTTCTTGGGCATCGCACAGCACGAGCACGCACAGCAGGAGATTGAACAAGGAGGCCCATACAAATGCACGACACTAGAAGGAGACGGGGATGAATGCGGGGAACGCTTCCAGTCCAAAAAGCAGCTCGCTGCGCACTGCCTGATGACCAGGGGGGCACATTGAAAGCAGCTTCTGGCCAAAATGTGTTGCGTCTCTAGCCAATGCGTGATGTGTGGTTTCAATTTCTTTGCCATCGATTCTGCCAAAAGACACGTGCACACCAGCATGTTTCGAGGTACCCGCTACACTGACCGAGGATGAGCCGACGGTACGACCGTCATGCCGAAGGATGTTGATTGCCCTGCTTGCAGGCACGTGGGAATTGATAACAACGAACTCCGTAGACATAGTCTTCAAGAGTACGTGCTGTCCCACTTGCACTCACATACGTTGGACTTTGAGGTGCCAGGATATCAGGAGATCCTCGACAGACTGGCAGAACAGGAGGCACGTGATGGCGGATTGGCCCATGCCCAGCGCCCGCAAGCGCAGCGCAGACGACAGCGAGGTCAACTCGCAGGCTGCCCAGAAGGGCAAGGCCGAGACAAACGACGAGTCCCACGACAACGCCAATCTTCTTCGCCAGTTGGAGTCCAGGATCAGAACTCTGGGGTTCGGAGCAGGTCTCACATCAGACGGTCCCAGCGACGACAAGAAGATCACGGTGCTCAAGTCAGCCCATCAGGCGTACCAGAAGAGGGTGGAGGGGAAGGCCAACACACATGGTCTCGGACCTCCAGAACTGCAGAGTGTTGCCGCACTTCTGAGCGTTTCCAGCGGCTGGCTCGAGCAGCCAGGCAAGCAGCAACAGTCAATCTAGCATCTTCGGCAAGTACTCGACCGCCTGCTGCTCGTGATGACGAAGAGCGACATGCCCACCGCCAGCACCTGTTTTCAGGAGTGCGCGACCTAAAACGCCCAGGACCAGGCGATCAGCAGGATATCTGTAATGGTGACGAGCTCTATGCCACTCCAAGGCCACGGATCTGGGGCC